TTTCAATGCCATTTAAAATACCAGCCAAAAACTACTAAAATGCCTATTTTAAAAACAGGAGTATATGCACCTATATCCTAACAAGACTATGAAACAGGCATTACTGAAGAAAACTTAATTAGGATATATAACATGTTCAGGGACCAGAAGTCTTCAACTTTATTAAGATGTCAATTTTCCTCATATATGATCTAAAGATTCAATCTCATGTAAAGTCTTATAGGCCTTTGTTCTTTTTATGGAAGTTGAAAAGATGGTTCTATTGTGTATCTTTGGCACAACGGTAAACCAGATGAAGTAGCCCACATAGAACTGTAGCCTTGCTGCAAAGAATCCCAGTCACCAAGTAGTCAACCTATTGTTGCTGTTGTTTCCAACTCCCTGCCAGAAGCACGTGTAGATCTTCTCTGAAGGAATGTAACACCAAAGGCCTTAAATGGCCTCGATAGTTCCACATGTAATGTCTGACATAGAATAAAGAAATGACGAGGCATGGGGGGGCACGCCTTCAATCCCAGCACTTGGGAGGCAGAAGCAGGTGGATTTCTGTGAATTCAAGGTCAGCCTGGTTTACATAGTGAGCCCCTGTCTAAACTAAATACATAAAGAAAATGGTTATCTGAGTGCTCAGGTGACCTGATCAAAACTGAGTAGTCTATACAGAACAACAGCAAGGCCATCTTAAGATCCTTAGGGACTTTTAAGATACATTGAGCAGCCAAAATGTTCTTGAAAAAGAAAACTGGAGAGCTCTAACTATAAAAGTACAATATGAAAATACAGTGACAGGGGTTGGCAGGATGGCTCAGTGGGTAAGGGTGCTTTCCACCAGGCAAGGTAGCCTGAGTTTGATTCCTGGATCCCACAGGGTGAAGACAGCCAAGTCCTGGCAAGTTGCCCTCTGACCTTCATACATTCGATAGCATTCACACCACCTCCCATATAAATCAAGACGAGTTAAAAAGTTCAATTGTGCCGGGCAGTGGTGGCGCACGCCTTTAATCCCAGCACTCGGGAGGCAGAGCCAGGCGGATCT